TGTAGATTCTAATCAATCATATAAAATGAAAAATGGTGTTAGGAACCTAAATATGATTTTTGATTATCTAGACAGTGATACCCCACTCGACATATTTTGTCAATTTATTTTTTTTACTTCGTCACAATATGGCGCCTAATTTTGCCCACATTGAATTTTGATTACTATCATATCTTTAGTAGCACTCCCATGATTGAAACGAATCGATTGATGTATGAATCATCAAAATCGGTCCAGGCGTTTGGTCTCTAGTGTGCCACAAAGGAACAAACATACTTAGATAGACTGTTAAACACATAACCCTGTCTGCGCGTCGCGCTTCGCGCTCTTGCATTGCGCAGCCGGGTAATAATGAAGCTACTGAATATACGGCTATAGAACCTAAATATCTTAGCTTACTTTGGTTAACTAGAGTTTAAAAATTCTCTCTAATCTGTGGCTCATTCACAATCATCACACAGTTTCTGTCACAGAGTATCTTATTATAACCGGAAATGACACCTGATTTTAAAAGTTAACATTAACTTTAAAAACAGGCAACTATCTGTTAATCTACATGCTCTATATACCTGAATCTAATCCATAATTTCGGTACTTGGCTTGATTTCCCTAGTTTACTATATAACTTATTTGTTTTTTATTATTTTAATATGTTCAGTGTATATGGTTTATAGAAGTTCTCAGGGGTGTCCGTTAATAATATTCGTTTCTACAGTAATTTATATATAATTTCGAATCTAGGAAACAATTTTTCATGATTATCGGTCTTTAGGCCAAACATGTATGGAAGCTGAGCAATCTCCTTTCACAACAGTCTTTCATTACTGTTATTTATGTTAGGGACAAGAATGCTCTTAAAATAATCGTAATTCTAAGTAATCCATGAGAAATACGTCACCCCTGATAACGAACTTAGCGTAAATAAACGTCATTAAGTTAATGACTCATATATTTATCAACTTGACCGCAAGAGTAAAACAATTTATGACTCTTAAAGTATTTATTGGTAAACCGATGTGGTCAATAAACGAAAATAGTATATGTTTTGAAGTGAAACTTCTTTATCGGCGTTGGAAAAAAATTTACCGTCACATTTTTCGGTTACGCGTCACATTTTTCCGTTACGCGCCATCTTTTTTTATATTAATAGTTGATAGCTGAATGATCACACTGTCGCCGGCGAGAACTCTCTCTACTCGTTTGTAGCTGAGTGACAATAGTTATTAAAGATAAGACTCGCTCAGCCAAACTCGCATAGCGATACTCGCTCAGCGGTACTCGCTCAGCGATACTCGCTCAGCGATACTCGCTCAGCGGTACTCGCTCAGCGATACTCGCTCAGCGATACTCGCCCAGCGATACTCGCTCAGCGATTCTCGCTCAGCGATACTCGCTCAGCGATACTAGCTCAGCTATACTCGCTCGGTTAAGCTGGCTTGGCTGTCAAAAGCCGTGCGCGTGCATTTTAACTCAGGACTGCCAATTCGTTTCTAGTTTCTACTCGCTTATCGTTCATCGTCGGAGGTGGAACATGTGCCTTAGATTACTGAGCCGTGTAATCATAACAGTTTCATAGGCAGTAATTTGTATTCATGTCTATGATAATAAAATCCTTTTGTTTAAACTTTATCTAATTTAACTTTATTTAACCAATTTCTGGAAAGTTGCATGTAGATAATTTTTCGAAAAATAAGGCCATAAAGAAGTTTCACTTCTTACGTGTGTACACTAGTACACGCACACATTTTTTTTTTGAAGTTATACTTCTTTAGGCGCGTTATGAAAAAATGATGAGAGTGAAATTTTAAGATACGCGCGCATCACTGTAACACAGCGACCAACTTCATGCTGTTACTTTTGTGTTTACCGCACATTAAGAAAATCTACGAACAAAATAGAAATAGAATCTCTATTTAGTGGGTGCTAACGACTGCATTGTGAAGGCCTATCAAAAGTATTTATTAATCTGGAACAACGGAACCAAAGCGCGATTCAGGAGACTACAGCGCCATCTCTTGACCATTGGTGTAGTAGAACCAAAAACCACATCTTTATTTTTTGTAATAAAGTAACAGTTATAGGTATTCATAGTTATAATATTTATCCACATGTTTCTAGTTTGTATATTCGGAATACGTGTTTGAGTTTCATACAAGTGCAAATCGCTTTTGTTCTAATAAATTATATTCAGTAGCGATTTTAATTATTATTTATTTTTTCAAATTAAAACTGAACTTTATTGACTGTGTCCTTTTCCAGACTTTTTATTAATTTATTGTAATTAATAATTTGCATGCAATTAAAAACTAATTTTAAACGATGCCAAAGAAGGATAACTTCTCACGCGCCTACATAAGTACACGCACCCATTTTTTTTAGGCATTTATATATTTAGATGTTAAAAATCTAAAAAAAAACACGCGGACCAGCGGGGCTATCTGTAAAATTTTCACGCGCGGATCCGGTGCGGTTCCGCGCGAATCTATATGGGAATCGAGCAAATCCGCATCGGATCCGTGCGTGAAAATTTTACAGATAGCCCCGCTGGTCCGCGTGTTTTTTTTTTACAGAATAGCCTCACAGGCAGCAGACGGGATTCGAATTCGCACAATTATAGTTGTTTTATTTTTGCTTAAAAAAAACAAATAATAACTATAATTATTATTTCTTCTTACAAATGTTAACTTGTAAAGGTATTCATTTGACATTGTGGGTTACCTACAAAGCGAAGAGATGGCGCTGCCTTGCAGCCTAAGGCTAGAGAAAAATTCGACACGGTAGTATAAGGTTCAGCGCATTCGCTCGGATAGCGAAGGGTGCGGGTTCGAGTCCCGTCTGCTGCCTGGTCTGCGTGGATTTTTTTTCTAGTTAACTTTTCTTTAGATGTAAATAGTATATATAATATATATATATATATGTATTATTTACCTATTATTAAACCGGTCAAGTGCAAGTCGGATTTGCAAACGAAGAATTCCTTACCATCGTACAAGGTTAAATCAATCTCCTGAATATATGGTTACCGTTACTGACCGACAGATCTATGCATGCAACGCACAATTCGAACCACTGAGCGGATTGCGCTGAAATTTGGCAAACATATAGCTGATGGAGATAGCACTGCCTTCCAGCATAAGGCTAGAGAAAATTCGACACGGCCATCAGGAGGCATCTACTCTAATTGAACGAAAAACGAAATTTTGTTCGTAACTTCGCACTTTTCGTTGTCGGAATATCGAGTAGATTGAGGTGTAGATTTTCTAAGCCTACTCAAAGAAAGCCTCAATTTGATAGTTTATCGTTCAAATGAAATATAACCTTAAATTGACGAAATTAAATTTCGTTTGAACGACCATGAAATTTTGGTCTCGCAAACTATTCGAATTAATTATAAGTTTCTAACAATATTTGTGACTATACTTTTAAAGTTCTTTAATCAACAAGGAGCCCCGTATAGTTTTGTCTTGTCAGTCTATCTGTGAGCAGCTTATTTCAAGTTTGTTTATGTTACGCCAACCCCGTTACGGACATTAGAATACAACAAGCTTGCGATTTTGAACGTATTTGAACGCTATGAGTCTATCTATCCTTTCCTAGCAAACTCCCTTACTCTAACTAAATCCGCGTTCGACTGCGATCGTTGAAGTTAAGCAACTTTCGCAGTAGTCAGTCATTGGATTTATTACCAAAAATTGACTGTCTCGAGCTCCTCCTTGCTTCGGAAAGCACGTTAAGCCGTTGGTCCCGGCTGCCTTTGCAGTCGTTAGCACCCGCCAATCCGCACATGGCCCGCGTGGTGGGTCATGGCCCAACCTCCCTATTCCATCCATAGGGAATAGAATAGGCTGATGATAGCGAACTCCTACGTCATAATAGCTATATGTATACCAACTTTCAGCGCCACCCGTTCAGTGGTTTGAGCCGTGAGATTAGTCAGTCAGTAACGATTGTCTTTTATTTAATTTAACAGTTAATAACCTCATGGGATTGACAGATATGCATATATGTGTGTGATGGCAACATAATATGAACTTTCAGAGTTCTTGACATCTTTTTGCTCACTCCTAGGGGATTGACACGAAAAGTTGTATCTCCAAAATTTTGTATCGTGCATCCTTAGTATGTTATATATATGTAGGTAAAAGCTAGGGATAAGATACATATCAATATTCCGAATATTATTTGTAAATGTCACGCAATAAATAAAAGCTTCAAATTGTATTCATATATAATTTTATTCTTAAAGAACTTTATTGAAAACTTGCCTCATGTGAAGACCATTAAAATATCTAAGTGAAAACTTTTCCTTCGATACCACAGTAAAATTATCGTAATATGAGAAAACGTGAAGCCTAATTTTTTTGTTGTTATCATAAATGGCGTGGTAAGTGTTATCATGTTTATTTGGATAAAACCCGATTCAATTAAATTTGTTTAAGAATACTTTACCAAAGTCAAATATTAATACGCGGATTGAAGTACCGTTACATTACAATTAATCACATACTCGTTAATTACTCGTTAATAACTCTCGTTAATTCGAAACTGGAGGGACTCTTAAAATATTTACGAATTAACGAGTGATTGGAATGTCAAATGGTTCGAAATTTTTTAAAGTATTAAGTAAAACTTCTAATTGTTAAGTGTTGATCATTTAGTAGGTACATACTGCATTTGCCTCATAGAATGCAACTGGAATAACATTTTATTTGTAGTTTTATGCTTCTAAGAGCAGCTCTCTGCTTTTATTTAAAAAATTTCTTGAATAAATAAATAAAAAATCCAAATACACAAAAATATCTGAATATCCTAATTAATTATATAGAACGCGTTTTTTGTTTCAAAACAATAAATCAGAATTCTGCCTGTCTAATATGTCAAAATAAAAAAAAACGAGCAGGAATTATGGCAAAGGAATCTGTTATATTCTTCAGATACAGCCATTGTATTGTGTGTGATAGATAACAGTGAGTGATAGCTACAAAGATTTATGTACTCACCTGTTGCAAATATATTTCATTGTACGGCAAACTCGTGTTCACTAAATATCTGTCGTCACATAGTCTGTTGTCCATGTAAAAGAAACGTTCGTGAGCCTTCACATTAGACGGTTCCAATCCCTTGAACACAGTAGGGCTGAAAGGGTTCACAACACCCAGATCCGAGTCCCCGCACACTCTACCGTACATCGCTTGCCCTTTGGGACAACACTTCCAAACGCAGAGGCGGCCGATGCAAGGGCAACCAAACCACGACTCCACACCATCCGTCTCAGACTTGAACCACGCACTTATCCCATAAACAATCCCATCATGAAATACAGAACCGTTGGCTAACAGCTCTCCCCCGGTTATGTTCAAACTCTCCTTCAAATCACACGGTTCACAATTCACGGCTGCAGTTAACAGTAACAATAACATAAGCGGGCCCCCCATTTCTTTTAATTAAAAAAAACCCATACACTCCTTTACAGTTTGGGATCTTCGTGACTAATAAAGAAATTCAGTGTTTACGATGTGAGCACTTGTGAGGTAATACGATGTATCATTATCGTGTGATAAGATATTAGGGCATGCGGGGACGCGTGTGACGGAGCGCATGTGACGGCCGGTAGGTGGCGTGCGTACGGCGCGTGGTTAGCTCGCCGACTGACGGCCGGATGCCACTGCAGTCCACTGCGGACTTGCGGAACCTCCAAGCAGATCGCGTAGCTCCTGAAACCACAGGCTGGCCAGTTGAAAAACACAAAAAGAGGTTAACATATTAGTAACTATGTATAATTAAATCCCAATGACACGAGTACCTGGGTCACTGGTATTGTGAGCTCAAACATACGCTGGGTATTAAAAGTATAAAAACTTTAGTACTTACGTATATTATTTAGTATTGACAAACTATTAATTGAAACCAATATAAACATCGGTATGTGACAGGAAAAAGGAGTGATATAAAAAAAATAGGTACTTTTTATTTTGGTAGGTATTATCTTTAAAACATTCACATCATAAACATATGCATTAATGCTTCTCTACACCAGGCAGCGCGACGAACCTTAGGTACTAAAATGCGCTAAAATTTGCTTTCGTTTGAATTAGTTCCATTGTAAGTACGCTTCTTCTGCACATCCAGGTAGTTTTCCAATTACAGAGCATTATGCGACTCAGCTCAGTGGCGCACAATGCCGAATTATGCTGATGCTTAATTGGAACGTGAATTAGTTTTCAAATGCACCAGCAGAGTGCGCTAAGTTCAGTGTCGAAAAAAAATATTCATAGAGTTAGCAATAACCTCATTAATATGTAAATAAAGTGGTATACATAATAATTACAATGAAACGAAAGCTTTAAAAATTATTCAACAATATATAATCCTACGAACGATATTATACACATATAAATAAAACATTTCGATCAATACCAGCTTAAATAAAAAACACTTGTTAATTTTGTCACTGAGTTGGTATCGATTGCACGCATCACAAGAAAACATTACTTTTGAGAGTGCTCGATTGTGCGAAGTGTTGCTGTAGTTGAAACATTCAACGTTAAGCATGAAGTCGCATAATGCGCTGTAGTGCTGTAATTGGAAAACTACCACAAAATCGTTTCCCACAACCTCTTGCGTTTCAAAAACTGCCATCGCCAGGCTAGCTATCGTCTATCGTCAATATAAATAGACACGCAGCTCAATATGATTCATTATGAAAATTCAAATTTCGATCGATATTTTAGCGTAGCGCCAAAGCCACCCAAAGCTTTGTCGCGCATGTGTAGGATAAGTATATGGGAATAACTTGATAATTATGTAAAACGTGCTTCTAAAAAAACAATAATCATGCATTTGTTTAATCATTATTATTCTAAATATTGCCTCTGGAGCCGTTCAATTAAATGCCAGGCGGGGCGGGCAAAAGATTTTGTTGCGCTACGAAAATGATGGTTTTCTTTGTAAGTATATCTACGTAGGCCAGGCCTTTGAAAATGGTGAAATTAATTCAGGACAGGATGAAATCCATTTCAAAAGGGAGGGAACATAAAATATATGTTACCGTTAAGACCCGTTTTTAGATAGAACGCGTTTTCCCTAGTTAAAATTAGATTTTACTAAATGCCTTTGTTAAAACTAGAAATAACTAGTCAAAACTAGAATTTACCACTGATGTATTTGATTTTCAGATAAAACTAGTTGTCACTCCGAGATTTAGTTAAAACTAGCACTAGAGAAACTAATTTGGGATTGAAAACAAGATATAGTTTTAAAAATATTTATTAAACTCACTTAGCGTTATTATAATAATTCTTATTTGCTGTGCCCGACAGGGTCCATAATCTGATCTGTATATATTTTGAATACCTGTTGCAGGTTATTCAGGTGGTTGGTTATTGAGTACAGTTTTAACTGATTGGCTTCGGAAAAACGTGTGTTGTCTAGTTAGACCCAGTTTTAACTGATATTCCATTTTGGTCATTAGTCAATTCTAGTTTGAACAAAGGCATTGAGTAAAAACTAGTTCTAGCTACGGTAAACGCGTTCTATCTAAAAACTGGGTTTTAACTGTAACATATATATACCTTAGGGGGTGGAGTGATTTGAGGTTGGTGGAGGTGAACTTTTAGGAGGAGAAAAACGGTTTATCGTGATTTCCGGAGAAACTACATCCTATCGTAGAAAAAAGACAATGTTGTAGGTAATTAAAAAATCTACAACTTATCCCCTTATCAGGCCCGTCTTTCCCAGTGGGCACTTTGGGAAAGTGCCCAGGGCCCCGCGATCGATAGGAGCCCCCCTCAGATCAAATACAAAGTCCCTAGTTCCTGTTAAATCACCAAACGGAAGTCATAGGGGCCCCATTATCCTAATATGCCCAGGGACCCAATAGAACAAAAACGGCACTGCCCCTTATAAATAATGGAAAAATAAGCTTGGATTAGTAAGCTAATCCTCCTTCGCCTCTTTATTCCTTGTTTATTATTAAGGGGGGTTATGTGTTTAGTGTTTACACTTTTTTTATGTAACCTTAAAATATCTGCAACAAAGTCAAAATAACTGACTCAGTTACAATTTTCATATCCAGTTTTTATCTTCCACAACGATACATAAGGAACGAAATATCTTTTCGTACGGCATGTCTTACGGGAGTTTAGAGAAACTTTACCATCACAACCTAGCTAGACAGCTAGCAAAGCAACAAGCTAGGCAGCTGGGTAGGTAGTTAAATGGGCATTGAGGTGGGCGACCACTGACGGCGGTGATTGGTTTAAAGTTTTGTTTGGTAAGTGATGGACCGGGAGCGGTGGCGATGAACCGGCAGCGTCCGCACTGGGCTCATTCTGTACTAGGTCATATCTTTGTCAAAATGCACACTGACTTATATAAAACTAAAAAATACTGCTGTACTTTTTATACTAGGTAACCCAAAAACATGTGTACACCGGACTCTAGAACTGAAATTTGTAGCCAAAATAACTTTACACTGACCGTGAAAATATATCAATCTACCCGAGCCATTAAAGTCATTACCTCTGTCCTTATTCAGACGTCGTCTATATAAATTATTAATTGAAAAATACTATTATTCACTTGCAGAGTATTTTGAGAATAAATAGGCTTATTGGACTTCAACAAATGAAATAATGATTTTTGACATTTATTATTCAAAATTTTCATGATTTATTTACTTTATTTGACATTGTATGATACTGATTTATTGGAGGATCCTGAAAGGAAATATTGGACATTTATAATTTTACATTTTGATTATAAATTTTATTGTGAATCGACACCATTGATAGATGGTAATTGATTATTTTTAGATTTGGATATCTGGGATCTTGAGAAGAAAACTTTTTTTTTTTTCATAGATAGGTCCGACAATATAGCGGCAACACTGCCCAAGTGTAAACATAGCTCTCGATTCTTTTTATTCTAAATTGTATTAACAAGTTTGAAAGTCATCTAAAGTAACTTCAATGTGTAAATTACTGCCTGCGACATAAGTGTGATTGAAAGCAGTGTTTGGTTTCGTCCGTGGATATCTTAAATATCAAGTTTAAGTACCCTCAATTCTCAATTTATTTATAAGTCAAAATCAACTGACAGCGTCAATTTTGATTTTGACAACTGTCAAAATCAACTGACAGCACCTGTTTTGACATTGAGAAGTGGGAAGTGTTGCCACATTATAAAATAAAATCCCTATTGGCGGAAATCCGAACGGACTCGTTCTTCAACAGCAGATATCATGACTGTATGCAACGGCTGTCATAATGTGGTCATCGACTCAGAGAAGATTATTTGTTCGATTTGTTCGGGTGCCTACCATTATGGCTGTGTGAACATTATCAGGGATAATTATGGTAAACTATCAGCCAGGACGAGGAATCTTTGGAAATGCCCTGAGTGCAAGATGCCGCGAAAAAGCAATAACAGCAATACCCCCGTTAAGGAAGACTTGACTATTCCTGATGAACTTCCACAGCGAGAGGTTGAGACGGGGGGCAATCTCCAAAGACTAATACAAACCATAATACGCTCTGAATTGGCACCAATTAAAAATCAGTTGAATACACTGCAGGAGAGTGTTGATTTCGTCAGTTAGCAGTATGACGATATTATCAAAACCACTAACGCATTGGTTAAGGATTATAATAACCTGCAAACTATATGCAGCAATCTGGAATCTACAGTAGCAACTTTATCGGGGCGCTTGAACACAATGGAGCAGCAGCAGCGTGATAACAACATCGACATTCAGGGAGTACCACAGCACAAAAATGAAAATGTCGTAGATATTGTAAAGAAAATAGCAGAAGTGGTTTCTTTAGAGATAGATGACACTGACATATTAAACAGTACAAGAATAGCAAGTATTAATAGAGAGAGTAAGCGACCGAAAGCTATTATAGCAAAACTACGGAGCACCCGATGTCGTGACGAATTCATTTCAGCAGTAACACGCTATAACAAATCTCATCCAAAAGAGAAACTCTGCTCCTCTCTATTGGGAATAGCCGGCAACAACGTCCCAGTCTACGTGTCGGAGCACCTTTCCCCAACTAACAAGTCTCTTCATGCTGCCACCAGGGCCAAGGCTAAGGATTTGTCTTACAAATTTGTGTGGGTACGAAATGGACGAATTTTTATGCGTCAAAATGAAACTTCTCCTTTTATTTATGTCAAAAATGAAAATACATTAAAAGCCTTGACATAATGTTATTTTACCTACCTTTTTTGTCTTTTTTACATGAATAATATTTTATGCAATTTTTATGTTATTTTAAATGGATGAATTATCAATTTATTTTCAAAATGTAAGAGGATTAAAAACAAAAACAATCGATTTTATGAATTCTATAATGATAAGTAATTATGACGTAATATGCATGTGTGAAACTTGGCTTGGCGACTCTATAGCTTCAACAGAATTATTCGATCAAAGATATACTATTTATCGTAGAGATAGATCACAAAATTTCATGAAGAAATATAATAAATCGCGCGGTGGAGGGGTGCTCATAGCAATTAAAAAAAGTTATTTAAGTTTTGAAAGATCACAGTGGCGGTCTGAAGTCGAGGATGTATGGGTTAGCATTCGCTTTGGGAATGTTCTTTTAAATCTTTGTACTGTCTATTTGCCGTCATA